ATTAAAAAAGAAGGCCGAATATTAAGGAAATGGAATTGGAGAGAGAAATAAAACGAAGCCCTCGACTCGACTCGAGCTTCATTCGTTCATATTCAGCAAAGTCAGATAACAAGATATGAAATGAGTATCCCATTTTCTGTCAATTCATGTGGAAATTGGAGTTGCCTGACTTCCACAGCCATCTCTTCTTTTGAATAATATTAATAGGTGAATTCAAAACTAACCAGTACTATGTATTAAACCTTGTTGTGTCTCAAAAATTATCATGAACCCCCCTTGGGCCACCCCCCTTGACTGTCACTTCTAAATTCTTATTTACTAAAACTATTTTCCGTATTTTCTATTTCCTCTTATTTAAAATAAAAATTACATTAAACCCAAGAATAATATACATAAAATTCACCAAGTCAAGATGAACAGTTCAGTTAACAATGATGGTTGAAAACTGAGAGAGAGAGAGAGAGAGAGAGAGATCATTTTTGTGATTTTGTAATGCTAGACAATTAAAACACACCTAATTTTATGATATTATCATCGCTAGTGGTGTTAGGCGTGGAAGAATTAATTTGTGGAATATAATCACAAATTGGTTTTTTCTTTGCGTGATGAACTTTGTTTGGCATATGCAAACAAATAAACGACTCCCCCAGTGACGCCGACGGATTTGTAATCACATATATTTTCATGCAAACATGACATTGAAAACACAAATCATCAATCTTACAGAGAATGACAAATGTTGGTGTTGCAAGAAATTCCTAAATTCATCGTCTCGTACAAACATCATTATATGCTCGCAAATCATATTTACTTATAATTATCTATATTAAGAAGAAGAAGAAAAAGCTCTTAGAACGTTTGGTTGTTAATATATTGAAGAACCCGAGAAGAATGTATACTTGCTTGCTAAGGAAAGCGGATTCCCCGGAACTTTTTGGGGGAAGTAGAAACGCTTCCATGCGATGGAGACACCTTTGGGTTGCACCAGGAAAAGGTGAAATGTTTTTGAGAGCGCATGCCATTTTGGAATAATGCCATAGTGTCTTACAAAAATGAGATAAACAGCCAACGATGACCATCATCAATGGACATAATAATAACAATAACAACAATAATAATAAAAGGGATGTGTGAATTTACGATTTATAAACACTTATAAGTATTTTTACACGAGGAAATAAAATTTTTATCATATATTTAATTACTATATATTTTATACTCTAAATCATGATTAAAAAGCTACTTTTAAACTATTTCAAATAAGTTTGTTGAACATTAAAAAAAGATATGGTTAACACGAGAGATGGGGGAATGAGTTTTATGTTAAAATTCGAAGGAGGAAGAATTTTTGCATTGGTTAAAGAAAAATGATGGAGGATATATGTCATACAGGAGGAAAAAAAAAACAAGGTGATGACAATGGCCGAATTTATGCATTTGGTGCCGTGAACTGTCGGAAAAAGGACACGCGTATAAAGGGAAACAGGAAATCCTAGCGACTTCATGAAACTGACCATTTATCTTAATCATTCCACAAATATATATATATATATATATATATATATATCTGAACCTGGTCTCTTCATATGTCATGCACAGATTAAACAGTTCTTAATTCATATACTGTCACACTTACTACCCAACCTTAAAAGCCCTATTGCTTGGTTTTTTTTTTTTGGCACCCCTTTGGTTATATTATAAATACTCAATTTTGCGCTATATAAGAGGATATTCTTTTTATATATTTATTTTGTACACTATAAAATTATTTAAAATATGTTGATCCACACCTTGCCACTGTGCTGTCTTGAGCAGCTTCTTGTTTGTCTGGGGCTAAGGCTTGTCATTCATTAAGAAGGACACTGAGTATATTTGTAGGGGGGCCATCATCCGAAGGATTAGTGATTAATTAATGTTCTTAACAAGCAATTCCATCGACTGCTAAAAAATCAAACCTCCTGTAAGTACAAAATTACGTTAGAAAATACTCCTATGCAAGTTTCATAATGTCTGGATTTTAATCCGTAGCATCAAGTATCATACACCTCCTCCGTTATTATCATGCAAGTAACAAATTAGGAGAATTTTTTTGTTATCAAATGTAAGAAATCTCGCAGACTTCGATGAATTTTTAATGTCATCTTTACAAAAATACCCCTCAAAAGTAATCACTGGACTCTGCCTTTTTGGATGAAGAGCAGTAACAATTGACCCAACTACATGTCTTTCTCGGGGGCAAAATAAGACAGATACTGTATAATGCTCAAAGGGCCATCTTACAAACTAATATGAAGCCCACTTTTTGCACCACTCCAAGCCCAATCTTGTCTGGGCTTTCTGGAATGCCTTCCTCGATCGATTAAGTCACGTGTTGAAGTTAGATTATTTGAGGAATGTTAGGTCGGAGAAAATTAGGTGGGAGAGCCACATCGTGCCCAACACGTGTTATGACATTAGGATTCCATCATTAAATGCTCCGAAATTCAGTACTGTCTGAATTCAATTAATTACTTGTACGTCCAATCGTTGGATGATTTATTATTATCTTTAATTTTGTACTGCTTTGAATTCAAAGTGGACGTCAGCTGTTGGTGAAGTCATCAATGGACAGATATGTTGTCTATGAATAAGAGAACATTTAAGCACGGAGGGCATTCTGTTCCTTATCTTGCATTATCTTTTTAAAAATAATTTTACAATCTATAAAATTAATATGTAAAAAAATTTTCATCTTACTTTAGATAAAAATATATTTTTTAAATACTTGTAGTGTTTTCCAAACACCCATAACTCTTCTCTTTTTATTTGGAAGTTCCTAATTTTTAAATTGATTTGGTTCTTTTGACAATATTCAGCATAAGATTATCTAAACATTAAATATATTGTTATTAATTTTATTTTTAATTAATTCTATTCTACCTTTTTTTTCTTCATATGTTCTCTTTTATTTTTGTTCTTACTATTTCTCTTTCTCACTGCTACCTTCTTATAAATAAAAGTATATCTAAAAAATTATATATTTCTTGTGTATTTATTATTTTTAATTAACTTTAGCAAATTTTTTAAATAATGTAATTAGGTTATTATGATCTTGTAAAAAGGACGGGAATGAGTGTAAATAAAAGAAGGCAATTTTCAAGACTGCAAATATGGTTTATTCAGGAAAGTATGCCCATGTATTTTGTTGTTTAATTTGAAAAACTAAAAATTAAAGGTTGAAATCGTCTTTATTATCGGTTGAAGTGTTTTTTTTTTTTTTTGGTGGTGGGGGGTAGGTACTTCATAATGTAAAATTTCTGCAAATAATAATGACATATTAATGAATCATTTTTCCAGAGCAACCCTCTTGAAGTGATGGTCACAGTTGAGAAGTTAGGGGTTCCAGCTTAGCATTCAATAAAGGATACTTTTACAAGGTTATATTCTTTTTTTTTTTTTTGGAAATAACTGAGACTTGCAAATAAGGTTATTAAACTTGCAATGGTAATTTAAGGTGGGATCTCGTTAAGAAAATGTTGTGCCGCTCAAAAAGCAAAATATGATTAATTTAAACCTGTCATATGTGAATATGTGACCAGTAGGAGTAAAGTCTAACAGAAAGAATTAGTCTTTCATAACGTGGCGAATCAAAGTTAGAATTCTCATTGAGAGAGGTACTCATATTTACTATCTGACAATGTCTTGAGCATAATTATCTCTAATAAAATGATAATATGTGATTAAAAAAATTGTCATATATGATTAGGATGGACAAATTGATTTGAAAACCCAAGATTGATGAACAATTTTATCGTCTCTCAGCTCTCTGGTTTTGAAACATTGGTATGCTAGCTAGACGCATCTTTATTCATAAAATATGCTGCATTATTAACGGTTTGTGTATAGTAGACTAGACTTTCTATAAAAATGTTTTTAATCATGGGTTTTTTGGTATATATTCCTTAATGAAATCCATACTTTGAGGGGGGAAATCATAAACTTAAAAAGTAAAGTGTATTGAAATCTGACATTAAGGCTAAAAAAAACTCTCCATCTAGTTTTTATATTTTAAATTGGAGCTAGTATGATTTTGGTTTAGGAGGCTTGGGGACAATCCACAAGAGAATCGGAATCCTTTTCCAGACGCAGATTGTTGAATTAATCATAATCTTGACGAAAAAAAAAATCATAATCATCTGACAGCTCCAAAACACCAATTCCATGCTTGGCCACTAGTCTTCTCTGTGCGTTCACATCGCCTCCCTCCTCGCCCACATCTTTGATTCCTAACATCTACGAGTTTTCCCACCCCACCATCCTCCTTGGTCCTTGCAAGCTCCGATTCGCTACTCTTTGACTCTTCTCCCCTTGTCTTCAATGGCGTCTTATCTGCAAGTGATTTTTAACATAAAAACTAGATAATTAATTTGAGAAGATTAAAAAAATCAGCTAAAATAGTTAATTGTGACTTTTCCAAATTACTTTTTTTAATTACATGCATTAAAACCGTCTCTTAGTGAAACTCAGTATAATTAATTAGGATATTTTTAAAAAATACTATAAATTTAATAGGCAAAATAAATTGAAATTTTATATTTATAACAACTAATTAATTTTTATATTAAGGGTATTCTATGAGAGGCCAAAAAAATTGACTGTTAGGAATAGCAATTTATTATTTCGTTGATTATAATACTCCTCCGGTCCTTAATATAGAACTCAATTGTTGAGTTGGTTTTAATTCTAAATATAAGACACATTTCTTATATTTATCAATTTTCTCTAAATTACTTCTATGGATACTCCTTCAACCATAATTAAGTAAAAAAGGAAGAGGGGATATTAAGAAAGATGATCATGATATTTTAGGAAAAACATGTCACATTTCTTATAACTAACTAACTTACTTAACTTTCTTAATCTAATTAAATTAGTTAAATGAGTCTTATATTAAGGACAGGAAGAGCAATAAATTAGAGGCAGTTGGCTCTGGTTCTATATATATAATAGTAATAATGCTGTGTATGAGGCTGTTCTGTTGTAGGACTTGTAGTTGGCATATAGAGAAAGAGAGATCAGAAGAAGATGAGCTCTCTGCTTCCGACCTCCAACGTAGTTGGTGATGATGCAGCAAAGAATCCTCCCACAAGTTCCATGCGGCTTGATCTTCCTCAGAAGCATGGCGATGTTGTCGATGCCGGAGCCCTCTTTGTTCTTAAATCCAAAGGTATCATCCTTCTCCTTCTCTGCTCTCCATTCTCAGGAGCTATCCCCTGATATGATCTCTGTAATGTTTCTTCACTCAACACTTTTCTTCTCAAAGAAGAAGTGTGATTCCTCCCAATTCCTGCTTGCGAGGGATGAGGCACATGGTTTTTTTTTTGGGGGGGGGGGTTCTATTTTTTCTTATTATCGTTATTATTATCTACTTGATATGATCATCAACGATTATGATTTATTTATCATTATTATTATCATTATAATGGCAGGATCGTGGGTGCACTGTGGCTACCACCTCACAACCTCCATAGTAGCTCCTCCACTGCTTAGTCTTCCATACGCCTTCACGTTCCTGGGCTGGACAGGTGGTCTCATCTGCTTGGTTGTTGCGGGCATCGTCACCTTCTATAACTACAATTTATTGTCCCTGGTTCTGGAACATCATGCTCAGCACGGCCACCGTCTGCTCCGATTCCGAGACTTGGCTCACCACATTTTAGGTTTTTATCATCTTCCCTCAAGTCTCTAGTTTTTTTTCCACTACCTTTCCTTGCCAGCCCCTCAAATATTTAGCTATAGATACTGTCATTATCTTCCCTACTCCGCTACACAATACTACTCCCTTTGGTTACACACAAAAGCGCAAACTTTGCAATAGGGCTTAGGAAACGACAAGCCCAAATTATATGGCCCAGTCAAATGGCCCAAGTATTCCATATTTGTTTCAATGAATGGCAGGCCCAGCTTGGAGTCGGTTTTTTGTGGGGCCAATTCAATTCGCAGTCTGCTACGGCGCTGTTGTGGCCTTCATGCTTCTGGGTGGACAATGTATGAAGGTAAATAATTGACCTCAAATCCTTTAACATTCTCACCGCTTTTACGGAAATGAAATCTATCTGTTCTTGAATAATGAAGGCAATTTACGTGGTGGCAAACCCAAATGGGAGCATGAAGTTGTACGAATTTGCGTTAATATTCGGATGCTTGATGCTAATATTGGCTCAGCTTCCATCGTTTCATTCGCTGAGGCACATCAATATGGTGTCTTTGGTTCTCTGCCTCGCCTACAGTTTTTGTGTTACTGGCGCTTCCATTTATATTGGTATTTCTGCTTCATTAATTCCTTCGCAAGTTTCCACTTGTATTTCCCTTTTCATTATTGCACTTAGTGACATGCCATTTTTACCCAAATTCCTGCAGGTAACTCCTCCAAAGGCCCACCAAAGGATTATTCTCTGCCTGGCGATACAGAGACTCGTCTGTTCGGAATCTTCAATGCTATTGCCATCATTGCCACCACTTACGGAAATGGAATCATTCCTGAAATTCAGGTTCCCACCAAGTCAACTAACTACTTCACACTTTTCGAAGCACCAACCACATCGAGATTTCGTGTTGTGTGTGGTTGTGAATATGAAATTTGTCTTCTTTTGTTTTCCTGGGTTTACAGGCAACATTGGCACCCCCTGTAAAAGGGAAGATGTTCAAGGGACTGTGTGTTTGTTACTTGGTACTCATAGTGACATTCTTCAGCGTTGCAATCTCTGGTTACTGGGCATTTGGGAACCATTCTGCTGGCCTCATCTTAAACAACTTTGTTGATCAGGGGAGGCCTTTGACGCCCAGGTGGTTTATTTACATGACCAACATTTTCACCATAGCTCAGCTTTCAGCTGTCGGGGTGGTACGTATCCCTTATCTTCAACCTCCATTTTCTGCGTTATCTATATCTATAGTTCCAATTCTTTATCGAGTGCACAAATCAAAAAACCCTTGCTAAATCATACATAATGCGTAAGGATGAAGAGTGAAGTCTCAACATAACTGTTTGGTGTGCAGGTTTACCTGCAGCCTACGAACGAAATGATGGAACGAATATTTGCGGACCCAAAAAGAGCAGAATTTTCGATGCGCAATGTGATCCCCAGAGTGATTACTCGGTCATTGAGTACTGCTCTGGCAGTTGTTATAGCAGCGATGCTTCCATTTTTTGGGGACATAAACGCACTCATCGGTGCTTTTGGTTTCACTCCGCTTGACTTCATCTTGCCTGCGGTTTTCTTCAACCTCACTTTTAAGCCATCCAAGCGAAGTCCCATTTTCTGGCTGAACGCCATTATTGCTGTCACCTTCTCTGCTTTGGGAGCTATAGCAGCTGTTGCAGCAGTCAGACAAATAGTCCTTGACGCCAAATATTACCGATTGTTTGCTAATGTATAATCTATTAATTAGGGGTCTTCAATCTTCATGGGAGGAAAATCTCACAATGCCTATCCGAACCCACTAAAAGCATACTCAGCCCAACCCCAAAAAAGCAGCTCAAACTTTTTAAATAATGTAATCCGGTTGTTATGATGTTGTAAAAAGGACGGGAATGCGTGTAAATAAGAGAAGGCAATTTTCAAGACGGCAAAATATGGTTTTGTTCACGAAAGTATGCCTATGTATTTTGTTGTTTTAAAAAACTAAAAGTCAAAGGTTGGAATCATCTAACACGTGATGATGATTGGGCGAAGTGTTTTTTTTTTTTTTCCAGGAGTAGGTGCTTCATAATGTAAAATTTCCGCAAATAATAATGACATACTCCTCCGGTCCTTAATATAGGACCCATTTAACTAATTTAATTAGATTAAGGAAGTTAGGTAAGGTAGTTAATTATAAAAATTGTGACACGTTTTTCCTAAAATACCATAATCAGCTTTCTTAATACCCCTCTCTATCTTCTACTTGATTATGGTTGATAGAGTATCTATAGGGATAATTTAGAGAAAATTGATAAATATGAGAAATGAGTTTTATATTTAGGACCAAAACCAACTCAACAATTGGGTTCTATATTAAGGACCGGAAGAGTATTAATGAATCATTTTTCAAAGCACCCTTCGTGAAGTGACGGTCATAATTGAGAAATTAGGGACTACAGCTTCGTATTCAATAGAGGATACTTTTTCAAGGTCATATTCTTTTTTGAAATAATTGAGACTCGCAAGTAAGTTTATTAAACTTGCGATGGTAATTTAGGGTCTGATCTTATTGAGGAAATGTTGTGTGGCTCAAAAACCAAAATATAGTTAATTTAAATTCATCATATCATATGTGATTATGGTGGACAAATTAATCATAATCTTGACCCAAAAAATAAAAATAAAAATAATCATAATCACCTGACCGCTCCCAAACACCAATTCCATGTTTGGCCACGAGTTTTCTCTGTGCGTTCATATCGCCTCCCGCCTCGCCCACATCTTTGATTCTAGCATCTTTGACTTTTACCACCCCCGGTGCTCCTTGCGAGCTCCGATTCATTACTTTTTAACTCTTCTTCCCGAGTCTTGAATGGCGTCGTCCGCATCAACGTCATCATTATCTATAAGTGATTTTTATTATAAGATCTAAATAACTAATTTATAGAGATTAAAAAAATTAGTTAACTTGGTTAATTATAACAAATATTTTTTTGACTTCCCTAACCTACTCATTTTAATTACATGCAAACCGTCTTTTAGTGAGACCCATTATAATCAATAGAGGGATATTTTGAAGAAAATATTACAAGTTTGATAGGCAAAATGAATGAAAATTTTATATTTATAATAAAATTCAATTGCCAATTAATTTTTATATTCAGGCCGGATGTACTATTATATTCAATGAGAGGCCAAAACAATTGACTGTTAGGAATAGCAATTTATTATTTCGCTGATTATAATAATAAACTAGAGGCAGTTGACTCTGGCTCTATATATAGTAACAGTAAGGATGTTGTGTTTGGGGCTGTTCTGTGGTTGGACTTGTAGTTGGCATATAGAGAAAGAAAGATCAGAAGAAGAAGAAGAAGAAGATGAGCTCTCTGCTTCCGACCTCCAATGGAGTTGGTGATGATGCAGCAAAGAATCCTCCCACAAGTTCCACACGGCTTGATCTTCCTCAGAAGCATGGCGATGTTGAAGATGCCGGAGCCCTCTTTGTTCTCAAGTCTAAAGGTATCATCCTTCTCCTTCTCTGCTCTTCATTCTCAGAAGCTATCATCTCTGTAATGTTTCTTCATTCAACCTTTTCTTCCCAAAGAAGAAGTTGGAGTCCTCCCAATTCCTTCCTGTGAGGGACGAGGCACATGGTGGAGGGCGGATTCTATTTTTTTTATTATCTACTTGATATGATCATCAATCATTGTGATTTATTTATCATTATTATTATTATGGCAGGATCGTGGGTGCACTGTGGCTACCACCTCACGACCTCCATAGTAGCACCACCACTGCTTAGTCTTCCATACGCCTTCACGTTCCTGGGCTGGACAGGTGGTCTCATCTGCTTGGTTGTTGCTGGCCTCGTCACCTTCTATAACTACAATTTATTGTCCCTGGTTCTGGAACATCATGCTCAGCATGGCCACCGCCTGCTCCGATTCCGAGACTTGGCCCACCACATTTTAGGTTTTTCTCATCTTACTTCAGATCTCTAGGTTTTTTCCCCCTCCCTCAAATATTTAGTTCTAGGTACTGTCATTATCTTCCCTCCGCCGTTACACGTGTTTCATAACATAGAAATGCAATAGAATAATACTACACCCTTTAGTGAGGCATAAAAGAGAGAACTTTGCAATAAGGCTGGGGAACCTATAAGCCCAATTTATATGGGCCAGCCAAATGGCCCAAGTATTCTATAACGTACCCCCGTGTTTGGTTTTATGAATGGCAGGCCCAGCTTGGGGTCGGTATTTTGTGGGGCCAATTCAATTCGCAGTCTGCTACGGTGCTGTTGTGGCTTGCACTCTTCTGGGTGGACAATGCATGAAGGTAAATGAGTGACCTCAAATCCTTCAACATTCTCACCCGCTTTTACAGAAATGAAACCTATCTGTTCTTGAATAATGAAGGCAATTTACGTGGTGGCAAACCCAAATGGGAGCATGAAGCTGTACGAGTTTGTGTTAATATTCGGATGCTTGATGCTAATCTTGGCTCAGCTTCCATCGTTTCATTCGCTGAGGCACATCAATATGGTGTCTTTGGTTCTCTGCCTCGCCTACAGTTTTTGTGTTACTGGCGCTTCCATTTATATTGGTATTTCTGCTTCATTAATTTCTTCTCAAGTTTCCACTTGTATTTCCCTTTTCATTATTGCAATTAGTCACATGCCATATTTACCCAAATTCCTGCAGGTAACTCCTCCAAAGGCCCACCAAAGGATTATTCTCTGCATGGCGATACAGAGACTCGTCTGTTCGGAATCTTCAATGCTATGGCCATCATTGCCACCACTTACGGAAATGGAATCATTCCTGAAATTCAGGTTTCCACTAACTCAACTAATTACTTCACACTTTTCGAAGCATCAACCACATCGAGATGTTCGTGTTGTGTGTGATTGTGAATATGAAATTTGTCTTCTTTTGTTTTCCTGGGTTTACAGGCAACATTGGCACCCCCTGTAAAAGGGAAGATGTTCAAGGGACTGTGTGTTTGTTACTTGGTACTCATAGTGACATTCTTCAGCGTTGCAATCTCTGGTTACTGGGCATTTGGGAACCATTCTGCTGGCCTCATCTTAAACAACTTTGTTGATCAGGGGAGGCCTTTGACGCCCAGGTGGTTTATTTATATGACCAACATTTTCACCATAGCTCAGCTTTCAGCTGTCGGGGTGGTACGTATCCCTTATCTTCAACCTCCATTTTCTGCGTTATCTATATCTATAGTTCCAATTCTTTATCGAGTGCACAAATCAAAAAACCCTTGCTAAATCATACATAATGCGTAAGGATGAAGAGTGAAGTCTCAACATAACTGTGTGGTGTGCAGGTTTACCTGCAGCCTACGAACGAAATGATGGAACGAGCATTTGCGGACCCAAAAAGAGCAGAATTTTCGATGCGCAATGTGATCCCCAGAGCGATTACTCGGTCATTGAGTACTGCTCTGGCGGTTGTTATAGCAGCGATGCTTCCATTTTTTGGGGACATAAACGCACTCATCGGTGCTTTTGGTTTCACTCCTCTTGACTTCATCTTGCCTGCGGTTTTCTTCAACCTCACTTTTAAGCCATCCAAGCGAAGTCCCATTTTCTGGCTGAACGCCATTATTGCTGTCACTTTCTCTGCTTTGGGAGCTATAGCAGCTATTGCAGCAGTCAGACAAATAGTCCTTGACGCTAAAAATTACAGATTGTTTGCTAATGTATAATATATTAATTAGGGGTCTTCATGGGAGGAAAATCTCACGATGCCTATCCGAGCCCACTAAAATCATACTCAGCCCAACTCTAAAAAGGCGGCTCAAAAATAATCGGCACTTTTGAACTGGGTCAAATCTCCGGCAGAATTTGCTGCCCACTTGACCATACCTAGAGTTTTTATAATAATTATATTTAATATATATGTAATACACATATATGGTATAATTAAATATTTAAAGACTTAAGTTGTTGTCATGTATAATCCTAGATGCTGTATGAAAACCGATCATGGTGTGATTGATTATGTAATTATAAAGAGATATGGAATGATAGATAGAAGTATGGATTTTTTTTGGCCAAGCAGATATGTGGATTTCAAGTTTAGTGTTATATTTCTTCTCTTGAAATATTTTAAATTGTGAAATTATAAAATATATTAAAAGTATAAAATATTATTTATGAAATTTGGTGAAAATCTTCACATAATCTAAATAAAGTGTCATCACATCGGCAGGGAAGCTTATCTTATCCAAAATTGCCTGAACTTTTATTGAACATGATTGGGCTGCGTGTTACAAAATATAGCTCATCCATCTTTTTAACCTGAACATTAAGCGTCTTGCTCACCCTGCCATGTGCAGCCTGCTGTTAATCACATTCCGCAAGGCCATGAAGCTTGTCAATTTATTATTTCATGCAAGAATTTTCTTTTTCTTCATTTTTTTCCTCCAATACGGTACTGTTTACTTATTATTGCATTCACTGAAGTATACTTCTTGTTTGTATTGCACCTTTCGAAAGATACTAAAGTAATGATAGAATATTTTACAGGATTAATAGCTTCAAGTTAAATAAACCTTAGCATTAAAGTGATAAAAAATTTAAAGAATAAGAATATTTGATGAAAATCTTTTCCCCCAAAATTGAATAAGAAGCAAATGGCGAACTATCTACAGAAACAATTATTAAAGGTAGATACATCATCCTTATAAACCATTTGAATCCTGTCTTGTCACATGAAGATGAAAGGATATATAAGAGAAGTAAGATTGAAAGACAATCTCCCCGAGTGAGATTCACCACCTGACCTCGCTTTTCTCTCACAAGTTCGTCAATTATAAGTCATAATAGTAAATTTTTCACCACCTGAAAAACTGGAATGGAAAAAAAAGGGCAAAAAAGAAGAAGAAGAAGAAGAAGAAGAAGAAGAAGAAGAAAGAACCCACTTCTAAGTTCTAAGTCAGCCCCCACATAAATACGACCCCTAGCATAAGAAAGAAGGAAGAAATACAAGCTTGAAAGTGACTGTTTCACGCAGCATCACATCTGAGAGACACGATTATTAATATCTCCAAACGTCATTGGATCTGGAAAGGGCTGCAAGACCTGACAGTCTAGGCCAGCACCATTCAACGAGGTAGATTGCATGCTCTGATTCGGAGTAAAGAAATCTGGCAACCCATTACCATTAGCTGTGGCAGCAGTGACATTGTCAGATAATCCATTAGATGTTCTAGGCATGACATGATCAGGCAATCCATTAGATGTCGGCATAAGTCCAGATGTTGGTGAAGGAAAGCTCTGTTCAGATTCTATCAATTTAGGAACCTGTAAGGAAAGCCTCACTGAATCTGAATCACCAGGCATGTCGGCAGCACCAGAAGATCCAGGGGACAGCCGTCTTTTAATTTCACTACTGATGTTTTGCTTAAAACTGCCCAGAATTAACTGATGAGCCAAGAAAATTAAGTGTTAAGTTCAAGTCAGTTACTTTAGTAGCACCATTATGCTTGGGCAACACAAAGATACAATTTTTAATTGTCTGCTTTCAAGTTCTTAAAGACATGAGAAATGGATATCATGTATAGATTAACACCCCAAAAAAAAAAAAAAAGCTCACTAGTTATGCTTAGATTGAAAGGCCTAATAGCAAATTCTTAAAAACACTACAGTCTTGTCCGTATCTAATTCTGGCTTAGTAACATTTAGAATCAGATCAGACTCAAGTATTCACCTGTTTTCCTGAAGTCCATGGCAAAATTAAAAAAGATGCTAGTTCATTGCCTCACTAGAAGCAGCCCTAGGAAGCATCATTGCTAGCAACTGTCTGCTTAAAGGCTTCCAACTTACGTGAGAAACAATCAAGTTTATACAAGCAGCACATAACTTTCATAATTCCTTCCTTCCCTTCAAGAACACATTCCGTAGACACCCTAATTGCTACGTCACCATCTAAATTCAGGTCTATGAACATGCTTTGACACCACTTTGTGCTCCGAATTAAGTTAGACCATTTTAGTATCACATGGGTAGTTAAACAAAATCTTACTTGAATAGGGCCTGCTGCTATCAGTGAGCCCCCAACACCACCTCCGAAAATCTTCCCATCAGGTTGAGCTAGTGATATCCTCATGGTGAGACTTTTCCGGTGCATATCACCACCGATGCCACCATAGGTATATGATCCAGATAAAGTTATTATCTCAAAGAGACCCTGCATATGGGAACATCAAAAGAACCCATAAACCAGGAGGGAAAAAAAAAAAGTGAAATAGCTCATCTTACACCACAAATTGCATACTTAATAGACTTTAATTTTAGTGACCCATTTTAGTTTCTCTGTTTTCGCCTTCCACAAGGAAACAACTATTTTCTGGCATCACAGTAAGGGGTGACCTCAGACTTTGCTTGAAATAAAATCTCCTTCCCAGACAATTTTAGGGGCGCATTCTCTTACTCTAATATAGAGCATTTAAGATTTTATCTCAAAGTTCTCTTTCAAACATAAGTTGAAAAAAAGATACATGATATCTTCTTACCAAAGGATCAAACCCCTTTAAGTGAGATGACTGTCTTTCTTACCAAGCAAACTCAGCTATCACGGTTGAGATATAAAGTGAAAGATAAATCAATAAACATTAAGCAAGCATAAAGATTCCCATAAAATGTGCACGGGAATATACCTCATATCTCAAACAACGACCAGAAGAATCCGGTTGCTGAATGTCGACAATAGATACAGCACCAATAGCTGAGAGTATGCAAAGAGCTCGAGGGGATTTATTAGAAAATGATAATATGTTATTCGCAACATCCTGCAATAACCAAAAGCTGGATTCCCGTTTATTCCCCCATTCATAACAGAAAGTACAGACATGATGTAAAGGAAATATTTGAAACATGAGCAACTGTTTTACTCGAGTCTTGATATTACCTCTCCAGGATTCACAATCACTACATGAGGGATAAAGCTTCCTCCAGCTGTGGCTGAAAAATTCCTCCTTCAGCAAAAAAGAGTTTCACACATAAGAAACAAGTTTAATTTCTCTAAACCAGCTGGATACTAGTTCATATTTTATAATTTCAACATGTACATGGTATGGGTATTTTTCCCTTCTTTATTCATAAGAGGAGTAGCTTTCTCGAGTGAGTGACCGATATATCTCGT